AATTGTAGCATGAACCTTTTGACTTTTAATTCTTATTACCTTCATGCTTTGAGGATTTTGATTGACGTCAAAAGTGGATGAGATTCTTGTCCGAATGTTGAATTCCATTTTTCCTGATATATCTATTATATCTTCTCATGAACAGCCCCATATCCTCATTCGAATCTTCATCATCATCACTAGACTCACTTTCACTAGGCTCTTTGGTTGAGGACTTTGAGCTAGAAGCCTTTAGATCAATAGTCTTCTTGTCCGTGTCTTTTGATTTCTCTTTCTTTTCTCTCTTTTCATGTTGGTCAAGACTTATGAGCACTTTCTCATGTTCATCAAGCTTACCAAACAATATTGTGATGTTTAATGTAATGGGATCATTAGCTTCCTTGATCGCTCTGACCTTAGGTTGCCATCCCTTATTAAGACATCTCAAAATTTTGTTAGTAGCAACACCATTGGAAACAGATCTACCAAGTGCAATTAAACGATTGATTAGATGAGTAAATCTCTTTTGCATTGTCATAGTGGTTTCAACTTCCTTCATGTGAAAGAGATCAAACTCTTGAGTTAAAGTATTGATTCTAGCTAGTTTGACATCATTAGTTCCCTCATGGGCAACTTGTAATGCGTCCCACATAGCCTTAGCAGTAGTACAATGAGAGACTCTATAATATTCATCAACTCTCAAGGAGGATATGAGAATATTTCTAGCTTTCCAATCATAATCGTACTTTTTCTCATCATCTTCGTTCCATTGTGCTTTCGGTTTAGGTATAACAACATTATTCGCATTGGTCATGGTTATTTCAATAAGACCATTTTGAATAATGTTTCATACCTTTCTATCAATAGAATTGATATGCACCCGCATACAATCTTTCCAATAATTGTAGTTTTTGCCATTAAAATTTGGCGCTCTATTATACGCCCCTTTAGGTTCGTTAGCCATTTTCTAATAAGCTATATGTGAAGCACTAGATGAATTGGTGCTCGTGATACTACTTGTTAGACGATGACACTGATTTAGAAGGGGGGTTGAATAGATCACTAATTTTTAAAACTTTGTGCGTTAAAAATTTGTTTTACAAAATTGTGCGAAAGCGGTCTTGGATTAAAAATCTTCTAAACGAAACGTTATTGGTATGATCGGATATGCGAAACCGAATGGAATAATTTTGATGAAAAAATAGAATCAATAATTTTCACAATCAACTATTCAAATGAAAACCAATTAATGTGAACCAATTTCCAATGATTAATTCTGGATAAAATTGAATTGGCAATATGTCGAACAGTTGGTGTGTTATCAATTTATCGTACACTTGGCGTGCAAGATACTCCAAGATAATTTCCTTGATTTGTAGTGCAGAATTTTTCACAACTTGCAATCAAAGTGATTGCAATGGTTTTTCAAAATAATTTTTAACACTGCAAATGAATTGAAATATTTTAGACAACTGATCACACATAAATTTCAACAATATAAAGTAAAGAGATAGATAGATAGATAGATAGATAGAGAGAGAGAGAGAGAGAGAGAGAGAGAGAGAGAGAGAGAGAGAGAGAGAGAGAGAGAGAGAATGACACCTAACTTGTTTAGGCAGTTCCCCTTTCGTCCTCGCTTCAGGTACGTCTGCCCCCAATTCTAAAACTAGAATTGAGATATGTATAATATTTTTTGTAAAATTCAATTACAAGAGAATTTCTAGCTATCACACAATCAAACCTAATTGTTGATGTTGATTCTATCCACTTCTCTCCCCTTGATTTCAGTCGAATCAAGTGCATCAAACGCTTCAAACAAACCTTCGGTTACCGCTACTCACTTGACAAAACCTTTCATTCTTCAAGTCTTTCACTCGGCTGATTCTGATCGCAAGTTGTTTAACCCTAAATCTTTCAATACAATCCTCCATTTACCATTATTTACTTGACCGGACTCACCGTTCTTCAAGTCTTTCACTCGGTTGAATCTGTAATGCAAAGATTTGTGCAAAAAAAAAAACCCAAAATCCCTCAAGATCTTGGAGGAAAAAACCCAAATGGTTTTATTCAAGAAAATCCCAATGAATCTCAACCCAAACTCGATTAACAAATCCTAAGTTTGGACGTTATCACCTCGACAAAGCACAGACCAACAAAGATGATTATGTGTGATTGTTGATGAATGCAAGTGTGAGAGTGAAGATGAAGAGCAAATCAATGTATCTTTCAATTTTTTTGTTAGTTTGTAAATGATGCATATGGGAATATATATGAGCATGAAAGAATAACAGAAAAAACTGACTTTGGAATCACAAAGATGCAGAAAAATGAGTTAAACGAGCGAGAGGTTGACCTACACAAACTATGAGTCGACCTTAGCAAGTTAGAAAGCAAACCTGCGCACAAAATAAGACTGTGCGTCGACCTGCAGCCATATCATGCGTCGACGCATGAAGACCATAAAGTTTCAAGTTTGTTTCATACAGTGTGCGTTAACCTACACAATAGTTGTGTGTCGACGCAAGCATGCCAGAATGTCTCAAACACCATTTTCTTGATTGTGAGTCGACCTATACCATGTATGTGTCGACCTAATGCGTCAAAAGTGACTTAAAACGCATTTTAGACATAAAGTATGATTCTATATGCCTAGATTCATGTATGTGGATCATTATACGCATTTGAAAAAGATGAATGCATTGATTATGCAAGGAAATAACGTCCAAAATACACAAGTACGAAATTTCCTAGTTTTGACATCATTAAAACAAAGTAATAAAGAAACTTTGCCCTCACATCGTGGAGCACAATTCACATCATAACTGACAAGTGTTGAAAGAAGAGTCTTTATGTTTTAAAGAGGCAAGATGTGCTTGAATGAATGAAGCTTAACAATGATTAAGTCTTGATGTCCTTCTGTCTTCAGAGTCTTGGATGTGAAGATTGATTTAACTTGAGAGATCCAGTAAATGCAAGTGTAAAGATCTAATTCAATCAAGTGATCAAGGTACTTATGATCACTTGAATGAACAGTAATTCTAAGGGGAGCGTGCAAATTGTTTTTAAAGGAGCTAAAAGTCCTAAAGTCGTTAATCCAATTATTTGATAAAAGTGTGTTTGATCAAATAATCAAATCAACAAAGGAGAATCAAGCATGAATTAACAAAATAATTAATTAATTAGTTACATGAACCAAAAGAAGATAAAAATCATCAATTAATCAAAAAAATAATTAGTATCACAAAATTTATGTTAATATGTAAACTTGAATAAATCAATACAAATAAGCATTTAGTATCATTGATCTTTTAATTTGTTAGTCTATTTAAACATTAATGTAATTGTTTATTTACAAACGTTCAAATACAATATGCTTTATGTAGGCTAAGGCCAAACAGGTATTCGAAAAGATCACGCTCAGACCCAAAAATAAGTCTATGATAGGGGATAAGTCAGACTTAGACTTTAAAATTTTTAGCAAACTAGATTCAGGCTGGACAAAGTCTAGTTCGACTCAGCCTATTCTCACCCCTAATGGTGAACTACAATTTGAATATCTCTAAAGGCTCTATCCGCGAGTCAAAGAAGAGAGAAAATAATAGTTTTAAAGTAAGAAAAGTAAAGGAGAAAATAGAGTATATTTTTCTCATTTAAAAAAATATATATTTTTGTAAAGATTGGAAAATAATGTTTAACTAAATCCTTCAAAACCTCTCAAAAAAATCTCCTATTATAATTTTTGAACTTCCTTAATTTGGGAGGATTTTTGATATTGTATTAAATGAGAATTTTGAAAAAAAATTAGAAAATTTAAATAAAATTTTCAAATCCAATTATATTACTTTTACAATTAAAAATACATTAATGATATATGATTATTTTTAATTTCTACAAAAATATTTGCTCCCTTTAAAGTTTTCTCTTTCACTCGCAAACAAAATATAAAGAAAATATCCATATATTGTCTGGCACGCCTCGAATGTAACAACATCCAATAACCTATAAATATTTTTAAGAAATGGAATGTAACCTTACAATTACTAAGAACATCCATATTCATGTCACCTAATTTAGTGGTATAAATAGACACCACTTAATATTATATTTTTCACACTTTTCAATTATTTACACAGTTCAAATACACTTTTTAAATATTTATACCATTCATTTAAAATTCTTCCTAATCTCAAAATATAGTTTTAAAAGCCAATCACTCTATTTACAATTAATTATTATTATTTTCTGACACAAATGGCTTAAAATTTGAAAAGCCGCTCTCAATATTTATGCTTTAAATACTTTAATATTTTTCATATTATCTACAATTAATTATTATTATTTTCTAACACAAATGTCTTAAAATTTGAAAAACCACTCCCCATATTTATGCTTTAAATACCTTGATTTTTGTCATATTATCGATGTCAAAATACTCTTACAAAAACTTGAATGATGTGACAATACATTTTGTACAAAATCATTGAGTATAACGAAAGATATAACAAATAAACCAATATGATGGTAACAAATATTGTGAATGACATTTTGTACAAAGTCTTGGAGGAAAGTCGTGTTGTCAACTCTCCTTACACTATGATGGTAAAAAGTAATTACTTAAAAAATATATATAAATAAAACAATGAAACAGAAAAATCTCAGTGTCTCCATAAATATATAAGTAAATAAAACAGTTTTAGCATCCAGCTTGCATACAAGCATTTTCAGACAAAAAAACACATCTAATCTTTAGATGTGTTGCCGTTACAATGCGAGCCTTGTCAATAACCAAAACAATTCAACCACAGAAGCATACATGCTTGTAAGTGCACGTCAGAATAGAGCAGGATGGCTAACCAAAAAAAGCCAATCCAAACTGTTAAGGGTGCTACTTTTTTACCCCCTTCCCTTCTAAAAGAATTCTCATATTTCTGAAATTGTAGTTTTGGATAGTACAAAATTAGAGTTTTATCAGATATGTACATCTGAATTCATGTTTGAAGTGAAGAAAGTTTCTCCCTTTGTTAAAGCTTCTTGTTCTTTCGGGACTTTGGGGACTTTGATACAAGGCTTGAACCTGAGGCCTCCTTGAACGCTGATGGACACAAGTGACTGATACCACATTCTCCACATCGAGGTCTTAAAGGTGTACAAATTGTTTGTCCAAATCCTACCTGTTCATATTTAATAGATAGATAGATAGATAAATAGATATACTACGCCTTTGTATGAAACAAGATGCCAAACTGAAAATTTCTTGTGCTGATCTTTTGCATGTAAAGTAATGAAGTCGTCATTTATAGGCTCGTAGCAAAATATAAGTTAAATAGTACAGGTAAAATTTGGACGAGTTTGCCAATTACCAATAGAGGATTTATTGGATCCCATTCTTCCCTTGGAAGCCACAGTTGCAGTGACACTCTAGTCTCTTCAGGTGTCAAAGTTTTCTAGCACAAGTGAAAGTTACATGGTAAATTTCAATTCTTAACTTTTATAACCAAATGACACAAACTAAATCCATGTCACTTACAAAAAGTGTATGTTATAACTTATAAGTGTTCGTGTCTCAACTCAAAACATGTTACAATCAGTTATTGCAGCATTTGGGAAGTATGTTATATTTTGTTAAATCAGTTACTGGTCATAACCAATTTAACCGATTCAGTTGAATTCTGGTATGTATAAATAGAATAGGAAATCTTTATGAGAGTAGCAATCCAAGAAATCTAACAAAAATAGATGTGAGTTGATTTCATGTATATATATATTCTTTCATAACCAAGAAAAATAATTTGGACTTTTTTAACTGAAAGCGGCAAATGTATTGAAACATATTACATATCTGTACCAGCACCAAGAGACGAAGATGCTGTGAGAACAAATAGATTAGGTATTAATGATTCAACAATAAAATGTGATGCCACCAAACATAAAGGAACCTGTTTCGTGCCCAATCTTGACACCCAGCCTAGCCGATTGCAAATGCGATGAACATGAGTATCTACACAGATCCCTTGGACATTGTTCCATGCAACATTCATAACCTATTATGCCACTAACAAAATCAGTTTCAGAAAAAATTCATGAAACATATTGCTTGTGCGTTACAAAATCTATTGTGCATACCAAATGAGCCATCTTAGGACCTATGCCCGGAAGTACGAGTAGTTGCTCAATTGTGCTAGGTATGTCTCCACCATACTTCATGAGACAAATATTTGCAATTTTTTTCAAATTAGTGGCTTTTCTTGTATAAAATCCAACCTGGAAAAACAAAGAAAAGAACAACCAAAATTACAAGCACGGACTCAGTTAATACAGCAAAAAAAAATAACCTTAAAAAAAATTGACACAGTAACATGCAAGCAGAGGAAAAACTTAAATCTTCAAATCATTTGAACCACAGAAGAGGCAACAAGTTGTAGAGAAACAGGAAACGTACAGGGTAAATCAACTTTTTGATTATTTCTTCATCAGCATTGTTTATTGCATCAGGAGTAAGCAGATCATTTTGAAGAAGCCGTTGGATTGCTCCTATATTCTTAAAGACACACTAGTAACTAAAACCGTTTCATACATTGAAACATGACATACATTTTTTAGCAACTACACGGTATGAATCACATGCATCAAAAGTAATATGACATAATGATGTTAGTTAAATTAGCAATCAACTTGCAATAAACTTATTTTTTGAATTCAATCATCCATATCAAAAAATATACAAACTATCCATTTTATTATGATACTTCCTCTTAGTTACTTTCCTCTACTATTTCTTCTTGTTATGTTATGTTTTATATGTTAACATGTTTGATATTCTGATTTCATGCATTCTTTTTCTTCTTTCATCAAACCCTTTGAACTATCTGGTGTCAATCAGTATTTGATCTTAAAAGCAAATAGCATTATTATCTCGGAGTGCATTGCTATGTACAGAAGCCATGAAACTTAACAGGTTTTAATTTACTATAGACTTTAGAAGGCATATGTACTCACCATGATTAATATGATCCTTGGTTTGACTTGATAAAAGGGAAGATACCAGGACAGCAAATCTTCTTTCCTGATTATACACACAGAAATTTTGATATGCGTAAATTCGTTTGCAAAACCCTATGTCTAGCAAACCAATCAATTCAATACAAGATTACATAAACAGTTGACAAGGCCGGACAACAACGTCATGAACTCATCAAACAAGTAATGTCTATATCGGTTTATGTTTGATGAATGGCAATTGATTTATCAAATCAATTACAACATTTTTTTTCTATCACAAAAAATGTTGTGGCGAGCCACACTCTAATCACATGCCTCACGCGTGTAATTTGTGTCACTTTTTTTAAAAGCATCAAGACAGAAATCAACTTATAAATGTTTATCTTTTCCCTACTTATCAAATTGACAGCAGTATAAGACAGAGCATGACCTTAGGTGGTAGTGTAGAACCAGCTTTCTCGCATCCCATAGTGTCTACTGGTGCATCTGCAGAACATCTCATTTTGCGAATACCTTCAAGCGTGTCTTCCCAGCAAGCAGGTGGTCCACCTACGATTCATATATGAACTAAACAATTCAAGAATCCTAGAGTAAAGGTTTGGCAATGCTAATAGACAGACACTAGAGAAGTATATTAGTCTCAAACTAATACGGTCACAACAAGAAAACATGACTATCTCCATTGTTATATAGGTGACAAAGTAAATAAATATTATTCATTAAATACATTCCTGAGAAAATGTCATGGAATTTAACCAACACAGAAACCGGTAGTAGTACTAGAATATACACACAAAGGAGAGATGAAAATGAAGTTAGACAAAATAAAAATTACAAAGCTAAAATAAGTCTCTTTTCAGATAGCTATCATATTTTAAAATTTAACAAAGGATTAAATAGCGAGGCATATTTAAAATAGTGAGCGAAAACCTGTTTTGCTACATTAATTGTTGCCTAGGTTTCCTGATTTAACAAGTCTTAAAGCATTTCATCATATACCAAAAGAGGAGACAAAAATCTCTGAAAATAGATGTTTTTAAAACACCAAAATCAATGGTGGCTTCAGGGTGAGGAAGTGTCTCAAATGGTCTACGGTGGACCAAGACTTAAGAACCATTCAAACTCCAACAACGATCAGAGTCACTTCAGTCTATGAAGCACGGACACCCCGAACATGACCTTGATACTGACACGACAACACCGGTAATAATTTGAAAAAATGAATAAATTAAACATAATCACAAGTGTTTGTGCAAGTGTCTGATACCGACACAAACACAGACACGCATTTTTTCAAAGCAATTGGTGCTATATAGCTTTCCGTAAATAGAAGTTCAAGGCATTACTCGTCTTCACGATTGAGACAGTGAAGTAATTGTCAGTTTGGCAAATAACAAAAAAAAAACAAATATGAATGCCTCTAGACTCAACTTAGGTCGCCTTCTCAGTCGTAATAACATTGAGAACACTGAACTTCTATTCAAGGTAACAATGTCGGTCACCATTAGTGTTTTGAGCAAATTTCAAGCATCGGATCACTGACGACAACCATTCCACACTCTAGCAATTGCCTAAAACAAATCCCTTTTGCAAATATTTACTGGATCGCTTCTTACAACTTACTGTTATGTGTTGTAGAAGAAGCAACTTCACTTTCAGTTGGAGTCACATCTGAGCTCATTCCTGCAAAAGAAATATACTATAAAATTGTCATATATAACACATTAACAACAGCACAACAAACATTAACAGAGAGGTACTTACTGCGGTGAGTCAATTCATTTGCTCCTCTGTATGCAAAATCTTCAATTTCAGGCAAACCTAACTTCTGTGTATATAGAATTAGAAGTTAATAGTCATTCATTGCATTCCTAAAGAGAGGTACTGAGAAACAAAAGGAGCGGGAATGGGGAAAAAGGTGGTTACTTTGAGAGTATGAGTAGGGGGTAGATGATGATTGTCTTGAAGCTTTGCGGTAGTGGTGATTCCTTTGGCTCTCTTGTTTCTCCTAACGTAGACGTGAGGTTGTTGGGACAGTGAAGCGCTGTACGCGGCGGTAGAATCGGAGTCGGAGGGTTTGGCGGAAGCAGAGAGAGGGGATTTGTGACGGAAACGTCTTGTCTCAGACATGATCGCAGCTTTGATTCTCCAACTTCCTAAAACAAATGGAGGAGCGGGAAGGACGAACATTTTTACATTATGGAAGCATGGTGTTTACGAATTAATTTGGGTTTTAATCTTCCAAGACAATTTTGCAACTAGAACCGATAACTTATTTTTTAATGACGTGGCATAGTAATTTGAACAGAAAGAATCATATAAATTCAAGTCGATATATTCTTTAAGCATTCTAAATAAATAAAATATTTTATAAAATATTTAATTATTTTAATTTTACTAGTTTGGAGTAATATAATCTTTATAGTTTTATTTTCTCTCTCTTTCTCTCATCGTTAAAAGTATCTCACGTATTAAAAAAATTTGTATCTTGGGCTTTGGTTAAAAAATTTATCGTGTTTTTAAGAATCACAAGTCAACGATCGTATTTCCAGAATCGTAAGTTGTTATTGATCAATCGCTGCAAAGATGAATGGTAACGGAAATTTAACAAACTCCCTTTCAACTCTTGAGGGCAAGAATTGGCTTCGATGGAGAAAACAGATGCAATCTCTATTTGGCTTCCATGAAACCCTATAAGTGGATACTAATGGCACCCCTACGCTTGGTGAAGATGCAATTGATGCACGGAGAACGACTCACAAGGACGCCAAGAAAAAGGATTGCAAGGCGGCACTTTACATCCAATCGGCGGTTGATGCGACTAATTTTGACATTATCGTTCATGTTGAATCAGCGAATGAGGCATGAGATATTCTTCTTAAGTATTAAGAAGGAGGCGACAAAGTCAAGGTTGTCAATTTGCAAACTTTGCGACGATAATATAAATTGTTGTCGAACGGATAAGTGAAAAAATGGCAAGTTATGTGTCAAAGGTGCATAAATTTTTCCATCTCATGAAAAGTTGGGGTGAAACCCTAACTGATAAGATGATAGTTTAGAAGGTAATGCATATGTCGGCCTCTCACTTTAATCATGTTATCGTATCTATTCAAGAATTCAACAACCTTGAAACTCTAAAACTAGAACGTTTTGTTACTTCTTTGGAGGCGCGTGAGATTAAGATTGTCAAAAGGAAATGAGTTCAAGACTCGATACAAGCACTACAGGCTCAGACATGGAATAAGAATGGTGGTTCCAACAAGTTCAAAGGAAAAATCGACAAGACTTACTACAAGGTGTCTTGGTTGAATCCTCATAAGAATAAGGTCGATGGTAGAGCTTCCAAATCCTCAAAAAGTGGAGAAGGAAATTCCTATCAGAAAGACAAAAAAAGATTTTAAAAAAAGTGTGCGATGTTATAACTGTGAAAAAGTGGGGTCACTTGGCCAAGCATTACTGGTACAAGAAAGATAAAATATCGACAGAAGGCAAGGACGAAGGACCGAACCTTGCACGTCAAGATTCAAATGATTACGATGATATGGTAGTTATGGATACGGTTGCAGATGATCATGTCGAATCCAAGATTTGGTTCCTCGACTCAGTTTGCTCGAATAACATGACTGGTTGAAAAGTATGGTTGATGAGGCGAAGAAGAGCAAGTTTAAACTTGCTGGTAATAGCTTGTTGCAAGCAGAAGGTACTAGCAACATAGTTATTCAAAGCAGTAATGGAGCAAAAGCTTTGATCAAATATGTACTTTATATCCCTGGAATGAAGTGTAATTTGATAAGTGTTAGATAACTGGTCGAAAAGGGGTTCTCATTGGTTATGAAAGATGAAGCCTTAGAACCTTTCAACATCCAGAATAACATGGCCTTAGAATCTCCTTTGTCGAAGAATAGCACATTTAAGACCATTATCAGTTTGACTGAGGTACAATGTCTAAAAACAGTTGTCGACCACATGAATAATTGGTTGTGGCATTTGAGGTTTGTCCATCTGAACTTTAGGTCGTTCAATCAACTGATCACTAAAGTTATGGTAATTGGTATACCAAGTCTTGAGATACTCGACAAATTCTATGAAGATTGTCTAGTCGGAAAGTAGCCCAAGAAGTCTTTCATTTCGACTATGCCAATGAGATCATTTTGCACACTCGAAGTTATGCATTCACATGTATGTGGTCCTTTTGAAGAGCATACCATTGGAGGAAATGGGTATTTCGTCTCATTTGTCGATGAGAATGGTAAAAAGACTTTGAAACTATGTGATCAAGCGAAAGAACGAAGTATTTGAAATCTTTACGAGATTTAAGATACTTGTAAAAAAAAACAGAGTGAAAAGAATATCAAGGTTCTGTGAACACATGATGGTGGCGAATACACGTCGAAGATGTTTGAAGAATTATGCGAAGAACGTGGTATTGATCATGAGGTAACTGCTCCTTATAGTCCTCAATATAATGGAATAGCAGAAAGAAGAAATAGAACCATAGTGGATATGGCAAGATGCATGCTGAAGCAGAAGAATTTGCCAAAGTCCTTATGGGATGAAGTTGTTTTGATTGTTGTTTATATTTTGAATAGGTTCCCTACCAAGAAGATAAAGAGCAAGGTTCCTGAAGAAGTATGGAGTGGCAAATGACCATCAGTGAGTCATCTGAAAAAGTTTGGCTCTATGTGTTACAGGCATGTGATGCAAGAAGAAGGAAGCTTCATGACGATAATGAACATGTGATTCTGGTAGGATATCATAAAATTGGTGCATACAGATCGCTCAATCCAATTAATTATAAGATTGTGGTTAGTTGAGATATTGTGATTAATAAAAATTTGCATGGGATTGGAATTTTAGTAATGCAATTGGCAAGCCATTGATGAGATATGATTTCGACGAAGCAAGTGATGATGTTGAAGTCAAAGATATTGGAAATATTATAGTTGAAGTCAAATTTGTTACTGACATAGTCGAAGTCGAAGAGGATATGGCTAGCACAAGTTAGAGACCTCAAAGAACTAGAGCTCTTCCAGCAAGACTTCAAGACTATGAAGTGGTTGGTAATGATGAAGTCACAGAAGATGGTGAACTAGTTCATTTTGCTTTATTTGTAGGTGTTGAACTAATCAACTATAGATAAGCTTTAAATAATATGAAGTGGAAGTCTAGTATGGTCGAAGAGTTACAAGCAATTGGAAAAAACAACACATGGAAATTGGTCGAATTCCCAGCACATATAAAAGCTATTGAAGTAAACTGGGTGTTCAAATTGAAGCACAATGTTGATGGGTCAATAGCAAGACATTGGGAAATATTAATAGCCCGAGTATTTCTTCAAAGAGCATAACTCGACTACTCTGAAGTCTTTGCACCTATTGCAAGATTGGAAACTATTCGATTAGTTGTAGCCTTGGCATGCATGCGAGGCTGGTCAACATTTCACTTACATGTGAAATCAGGATTTTTGGATGGTCCTCTAGATGAAGAGGTATATGTTACACAACCTCCTAGATTTGTGATTCAAGAGGAAGCAAGGAAAGTATGCAAGTTACACATAGCGCTTTATGGCCCCAAGCAGGTATTTATGGCATGGAATAAGAAGATTGACTCATACTTAGCCGATTTGGGATTTATCAAATGCAAATATAAGTATGGTGTCTATGTTCAAATTGTGGCACGAGATATAACAATCATTTTCTTACATGTCGATGACTTGCTAGTAACTGGAAATAGCTTAAAGAACTTGTTGAAGTTCAAAGAGCTGATGAAGAAGGAATTTGAAATGTCGGACTTGTAAAAATTGTCTTATTTATAGGCATGGAATTTCAAATATCAAAGCAAGGTATGGTGTTACATCAAAGAAAGTATTCCAAAGAGATATTCAAGAGATTTAGGATGGATGATTCGACTTCTGCATCTTCTCCCATCAAATCGAATTTGAAGTTGGAAAAGCATGGAGACAAAGACAAAGTTGATGCAACTTTATTCAAACAAATTATTGAATCTTTAAGATATGTGTGCAACAGTCGACCTGATATATGTTTCTCAGAAGGATTAGTGAGCAGATACATGAGTGAACCAACAGTGTCATATATGAAGGTTGCAAGAAGGATCTTGAGATACTTAAAAGGATCGACAAATTTTAGAATTCTATTTCGACGAGACTCTGAAAGCAAATAAGATGTTATTACTTGTTATTCAGATGTTGATTGGTGTGGAGATAAGGAAGATCGAAGAAGGACTACTAGATATTTCTTTCAAGTTTTTGGTGCACCAATCTCATGGTGCTCAAGAAACAGCCTGTCGTGGCATTGTCATCGTATGAGGCTGAATATACATCAGGATCCTATATTGTGTGTTAAGCAATTTGGATCAGATTTGTACTTGAAGAAACATAGGTTGAAGTGAAGAAACCTCTGGTACTGTAAATCAAGAATAAGTCAGCCATAAATCTAGCAAAGAATCCTGATTTGCATGGAAGTAGTAAGCACATCAAAGTTAGATTTCGCTTCTTAAGGGAGAAGATGAATCAAGGTGAACTTGAAGTAAGGCATTGCTCAAGTGAAGCATAATTGGCCGACATTTTCACCAAACAATTGAAGATCGACGGGTTCCTAACATTGAGAAAGAAACTAGGAATAGTCTAGATCGATGTCACACTCTAATTTTTGACCATAAGAGCCCATCTCTTTGTGCGTGTTTTCTATCATTATTCGACTTTATTTTAACATTTACATTTCCTTGTGACTAACCAGTGTGTGCAGCTGCAGTAAGTCCAAGTGGGAATTGTCCTCACTACATTTAGTCTCCTTCAAGTTACAAGGTGTCACAGTTTCCAAACTCAATGTGGTACACTATTGGGGCTATGGTTGTTATATCTTATCCTTATCCCAAGATTCTTGATGCACCATGCAAACACGACATGTCTCAAGGGAACAAAGTTTCCTCAAAAAGTGCTTCCAGGCTGGTTAGATTTGATACGAAGAATAACTACAAGCTATCCCGAGCATACGTGAGCACGATAAAACATGTGTCCAGGACATGTTAAATTCACTCAGGATCCAAGTCTTTGAACTTAATTAATCATTGTTGCGAAAGTCAAGTTTTCTAGGCAAACTTCGTCTTAAGTTTGAAACCTTAAACATCCAAGATGGCCCTCATATTCATCAAGATATAGCTCAAAGTCGGAA